CTCCCTGCATGCGGCTGTGGTCCCTTTGTCCACAGGACAGATTCCCATTTTTCTCCCAGAAGTCTCCCTGGGGACCTGCTCCCTACCTGACTTGTAACCTGTTAGCCTCGTGTGTCAAGTGGTGCTCTGCTTGAGACCCTAGGCCAGGACCTTGTCTCCTTCCTCCCCGTGTCCCCGCGCCCAGCACAGGGCTGGCACTGGGGGGGCCCTCATTCGAGGCTGATGCCACAGAACTTGCTGAACTGAACCCCACAGGTCAGCTCTGATGCCAGCAGCGTGATGCTCAGCGTGAAGCGGCTCTGCCCCTCTTTTCTGCGCACCATCCCAAGTGATGAGCGCCAGGTGGAGATCTTGATGCTGCCATCGCGGAGGTTCGGGTGGGTCTGGATCTCCATGGTGGGCAGTGAAGGTGACTACGGGCAGCTAGGGGTGCAGGCACTGGAGGACCAGGCCACCCAGCAGGGCATCTGCGTTGCCTTCAAGGACACTGTGCCTTTCTCTACCCAGCCGGGCGATGAGAGGATGCAGAGCGTGATACGCTGCCTGGCCCAAGCGAGGACCGCGGTCGTGGTCGTTTTCTCCGGCAGGCAGCTGGCCAGGGTGTTCTTTGAGTCCGTGGTGCTGGCTAAGCTGACTGCCGAGGTGTGGATCGCCTCAGAAGACTGGGCCACCTCCAGACACATCAGCAACGTGCCTGGGATCTGGGGCATTGGCACAGTGCTGGGTGTGGCCATCCCACAGAGGCGTGTCCCTGGCCTGAAGGAGTTTGAAGAGCCCTATGTCTGGGCAGACAAAGGAGCCCTTGGGCCTTGCCTCAGGGGCTCCTGGTGCAGCAGCAACCAGCTGTGTGGAGAGTGCTGGGCTTTCACGGCACAGATGCCCACACTTGGAGCGTTCTCCATGAGCTCTGCCTACAACACGTACCAGGCTGTCTAGGCCGTGGCTCACAGCCTCCACCAGCTCCTGGGCTGCGCCTCTGGAGTCTGTTCCAGAGGCTGGGTCTACCCCTGGCAGGTAAGGCACTTAACCTGCCACTGGCACCCTATATCAGGGTGCTTTCCTGAGGCAAGCAGAGCGGTTCCTCTTCGGCTACCCTAAATGCAAGGGGTCGGGGACAAAGGCCCCCGACTGGAGGCTGATTCCTTCTCTGAGGCTCGTGTTAGTCTTCTGTTCTCTGAACTGGGGCCCCTCCCACCCACCATGCCTCAGACCCAGGGCTTGAAACCTCTGCAAAGGGCTCCTTTGTTAGAGACTTCCTCTCACTCAGGAGGCTGGATAGGAGGGTGAAGGGGCCTCCTAGGAGGGGAGAGAGCTGAGCAAGGGACCAGAACTTCCAGATGGGCTGAAACCACCCAGATGGAAGCTCAGCAAGGCCCCACGCACTTGCTCCCTGGGCCGTCTGGGTCCCAGCGGGTCCTGGAGGAGCAGCCTGTGCCAGCTATGGCAGCGCCGTTATCCCTGTTTGTTTCAGCTTCTGGAGCAGATCCTCAAGGTGAATTTCCTTTTACACAAGGACATTGTGACATTTAAGGACAATGGCGACCCCCTCAGCAGTTATAACTGCCTGGGACTGGAGTGGCCCCAACTGGACCTTCAGGGTCGTCGGCTCCTCCTTTTGGTCTCCAGTTTGGCTAGACATAAATACGATCAAAATCCGGTGGCATGGAAAGGACAACTGGGTAATGGGGACATGTTCACTCACCAGGTGATTGCCTGACAGGCAGCCTGGAGCACAGGGACAATGTTGACACAGAGCAGGAGAGGGGATCCCAGGTATCAGGCCACTATGACTCTCCCCAGCCCTGCCAGGGAAGCTCCACAGGCTCACGGACAGACGCCCGGTCGTCACTGGTTCACACAAGCAGGGGCTCTGCCCTGGGAGTAATCCGCGAAGGCGGATGCCCAGAGATCCAGTTTTCCATCCTAAGAACGAGTGTCCCTTGAGCTGGGCCCCTCCGCATAGTTGCAGAACACCTGTGGCTTCTTTTTTTTTGTGGTACGCGGGCCTCTCACTGTTGTGGCCTCTCCCGTTGCAGAGCACAGGCTCCGGACGCACAGGCTCAGCGGCCATGGCTCACGGGCCCAGCCGCTCCGCGGCATGCGGGATTCTCCTGGACCGGGGCACGAACCCGCATCCCCTGCATCGGCAGGCGGACTCTCAACCACTGCGCCACCAGGGAAGCCCCTAGCCTGTGGCTTCTTGCCGGTGCCTCAGTCTGTGTGTTCCAGCGACTGTCCTGAAGGGGACTAGAAAGTGATCATGGGCTTCCACCACTGCTGCTTCGAGTGTGTGCTCTGTGAGTCCGGGACCTTCCTCAACAAGAGAGGTGAGTGACCCAGTGATGAGTGGGCGAGCCACCCAGCACTCCTAGGGTCTGTAGAGCAGACGAAATGACCTCCCTTGGGCCACACATGTGCAGAACCAGGGCTCTGATCACTTTGCTGCCAGTTAGGGACAGGTTGGGGGACACCTTCCATCAGGCTGAATTCTGATCAAGTAGAAAGAAACAAGCAGTTGAAGGCCTCATATGTAGCTGAGTTTCCTTCTTTTCTTTCTTTCTTTCTTCCTTCCTTCCTTCTTTCCTTCCTTCCTTCCTTCCTGCCTTCCTTCCTTCCTTTCTTTCGTTTTTGGCTGCATTGGGTCTTAGTTGTGGCATGCCGATCTTTCGTTGTGGCCCATGGGCTTCTCTCTAGTTGTCGCATGTGGGCTCAGTGGTTGCAGCATGTGAGCTTAGTTGCCCCGCAGCATGTGGGATCTTAGTTCCCAGGCCAGGGATCAAACCCGTGTTCCCTGCATTGGAAGGCAGATTCTTAACCACTGGACCACCAGGGAAATCCCCCTAAATTCAACCTCTTTATCCAAACAGATGTGGCTATCATTCCCTTTGTGCCCTCCCATGTTTATCTGTATGAAGTCCCTTCTGTTGTCTATGCCAGTGACAGCTGACACCTTGAAGAGCTTGGCCTGAATGCAGATACTAGCATGTCTGCAGCAGGACAAAAAGCATACTCTACCCAGTGATGCAAGGTCAAGACCAGAGAGCAAACAGAGGTAGCTAAGGGCTCAGCCCAGAGCTGGACTCCAGGGGCCACACGCCTTCCTTTTACTGTCTCTGCGGGTATGGGAATGTATCTCTTCTTTCCTTTCCAACTCAGAGAAACCACAGAGCGGCAGCTCAGGCAGGTGGATTTGGCTAGTGGGAGTGCTGGGGAGAGACGAAAAGACCCTTCCTTTGGGGCTGGCTGCTCACACTGGATCATAGCCTCAGGGCTATGTGGGTTAAGGCCCTCTCTACGAGCTCCTGGTTTGCAAACCCCTTCTGGGTTTCGTGGGACCATGAGCCACACAGAACCGATCCAGGTGTCTCCACAATCTGTAATTAACACAGGCATGTTGAGGAAACACTTGGCCTGGGGGCCCTCACCCAGGGCTACCCCCATCTTGCTGTGCCTGGCAGAGCCCAGCTGCTGTGCTACAGCCCTCCCAGAACCTTGGGGGCTTGCACGGCCTCTCTTCCCTTCCCCATTCCTGCTATGCTCACCCGGCTCTCAGGAACCCTCTCTGCCTTCCCTTCCAGACCCCTACAGCTGCCAACCTTGTGGGAAAGAAGAGTGGGACCTGAGAGAAGCCAGACCTGCTTCCCATGCACCGTGGTGTTTCTGACTTGGCATGAGCCCATCTTTTGGATGCTCCTGGCAGCTAATACGCTGCTGCTGCTGCTCGTGGCTGGGACTGCTGGCCTGTTTGCCTGGCACCTAGACACGCCTGTGGTGAGGCCGGCTGGAGGCCGGCTGTGCTTCCTCATGCTGGGCTCCCTGGCGGGGGGCAGCTGCGGCCACTATGGCTTCTTTGGGGAGCCCACTCTGCCCACATGCCTGCTGCGCGAAGGCCTCTTTGCCCTTGGTTTTGCCATCTTCCTGTCCTGCCTGACGATCCGCTCCTTCCAACTTGTGTTCATCTTCAAGTTTTCTGCCAAGGTACCCACCTTCTTCCGTGCGTGGGTCCAAAACCACAGTGCTGGCCCGTTGGTGGTGATCAGCTCAACAACCCAACTGCTTATCTGTCTAACGTGGCTTGCGGTGTGGACCCCACTGCCCCCCAGGGAATACCAGCCCTTCCCTCAGCTGGCGGTGCTTGACTGCACAGAGGCTAACCTACCGGGCTTCATGCTGGCTTTCGCCTACAATGGCCTCCTCTAGGTCAGCGCCTTTGCCTGCAGCTACCTGGGCAAGGACCTGCCAGAGAACTACAGCGAGGTCAAATGTGTCGCCTTCAGCCTGCTCCTCAACTTCATGTCCTGGATCGCCTTCTTCACCATGGCCAGTGTCTCCCAGGGCAAGCACCTGCCCACGGTCAACGTGCTGGCCAAGACGAGCAGCCTGAGTGGCGGCTTCAGCGGTTATTCCCTCCCCAAGTGCTATGTGATCCTGTGCCGCCCAGATCTCAACAGCACCGAGCACTTCCAGGCCTCCACCCAGGACCACACCAGGCGCTGTGGCTCCACCTGACCAGTGGATCCAGCAGGGTCAAGCCGGGGCAGGGTGGACTGGAAGTCTCCACTGCTCTCAGGGTTGAAGGTGGAATGGGGCGCCCAGGACCTGGGGTGTCCGGGAGGCCTCTGGGCTCCTCAGCCTTGGCTTGGGAAGTGTAAGCCCACGGGAGAGCTCAGTCCGGGCTGCGCTGGCTGCCAATAAAGAGGTGAAAGGTGCGTCTTGGCTGTGCTTCCTTTCTAGGGCGAGGGTAGGGCGCTGTCTCTTCAAGCCTGAGGGCGCTGCGCGGCCGGGCTAACCGCAGCCGGAACCTCGGGACTCCGAGCGGGGAGTAGACTCAACGTGCAGCTTGGCGTTGCTAGGCAACCCCAGGAGGCGGGCCCAGCGCCGAGGGAACGGAGCTGGCCCCGCCTTTCCCTGCACCCCATTGGCTGTTATCTACGTGGTACCGCCTCCAGGGGCCGGAGGTAAAGGCTAGCGCCTCCGAGGCATCCAGCCCCGACCGGCGCGCTCTGACGTCACGTCCGGCGGCGGTGGCGGCGGCGGCGTCGTCTCTGTACGGTCGGCCCGGCACTTAACGCCGGGGCAGTTGGTCAGTTGGGCTATTAGGGCGACCTGGCTTGGGGCCGGAGGGGTTGGCTTAGGGAGGACCGGCCCGGGTGAGGAGGTCGGGAGGAACGGGTCGAGGGAGGGGCGCTGTGGGCCGCGGTGACTGTTGACGGAGTGTGACCGCGGCCGCCTTCCGCCCGGCCGTTCCGGACGTGTGGGCGCGGCGTGGGCCCCGTTCACCTGTCTGCCGCCACCACCCTCCCCTGCGTCGGGCCCTCTCGCTGTGCCAGGCTGATGAGTTCGCGCTGGTCCCCCGCCTCTTTTCTCAAACTTTTGATTTCCTCCCACCAGCACCCTTCCCGACTCTGTCCCCACCTAGTCCGCCTGCGCCTTCGCCACCACACTCTCTGGCCACCCCCGATATGTGCTGCTTACTTGGCCCCGGCCCCCAGGGAGGCTTTCAGTCCGTTCCTGTGTCAGCTTACACCTTCTAACCTTGATCTAAGCCTTGGTTATAATAAATGTGACTGAATAGAGTGTGCCTCCGCTTACCCTCTTCTCAGATCCAGGGGCTTTCTCTTACTACTGATCGGTTGGACTGGGCAGGGGGTCACTGTTGCCTTTCTCCCTTTCAGACGGACCATGGACGGCTCCTTCGTCCAGCACAGTGTAAGGGTTCTGCAGGAGCTCAACAAGCAGCGGGAGCGGGGCCAGTACTGCGACGCCACCCTGGACGTGGGGGGTCTGGTGTTCAAGGCGCACTGGAGTGTCCTCGCCTGCTGCAGCCGCTTCTTCCAGAGCCTCTATGGGGATGGCTCAGGGGGCAGTGTCGTCCTCCCTGCCGGCTTCGCCGAGATCTTTGGCCTCCTGCTGGACTTTTTCTACACTGGCCACCTCGCCCTCACCTCGGGGAACCGGGATCAGGTGCTCCTGGCAGCCAGGGAGTTGCGGGTGCCAGAGGCTGTAGAGCTGTGCCAGAGCTTCAAGCCCAAAGCCTCAGTGGGACAGGCACCAAGTGGCCAGAGCGGGCTGGGGAAACCCGCCCCTCGGGATGTGAACAGCCACCTCAAGGAGCCAGCAAGCTTGGAGGAAGAGGAAGTTTCGAGGACGCTGGGTCAAACCCCCAGGGATCAGGAGCTCAGCGGTAGTCCCAGCCTCCAGAGGTCCCAGCTTGGTCTCCCTCCTCAGAGTGAGAACCCCTCCTTCCTCCGTGGGAAACTCAAGCAGGCTCTGAAGCTTAGTCCCCCTGAGAACAAGGAGCCTGAGGATGGCAGAGTGCCCCCAAGGCCCTTTGAGGCTGAAGGTGTCCAGCTGCAGGGCGGGAGTAACGAGGTACTGTGCCCAGGATGCTGGAGCAGGGGAGGCAGGAGTGGGGAGGAGAGACTGACGCTTTTCCGGGATAATCTGGACCCTAAGGTAGAATCTGTTTTGTGGGTTTAGAACAGATTTCCTCCAGATGTAGGAAGCCAGCTCCACCCTGCCTCCTCAGGCTGACCTTTCTGCAAGTCGTGTTCGTGGCTGCCAGCTTCTTGGGGTCGAGTGGGCGGCATCAGGTGTCTCCCAGGGTAGTGAAATCCAGGCAGACTTCCAAGTTACCCACAAATAGAGCTCCTGCTCTCCAAACCCGAGATTCGGATGCTGCCTGCCCTGGGACCCTGAAGGGAAGAGTCACTGGTGAAGGGACCTGTCTGGGGATGTGCCTGGGTTGGGACTTGGGATGGAACTGGATGGAGCTGGCTGCCCCGTAGATCCGTCCCCAGCACCCCTGCCGATTAATTTGGTGACCTCGCTCCCTCCTGCTGCCTCTTCTGCTCTAGTGGGAAGTGGTGGTTCAAGTTGAGGATGATGGGGATGGCGATTATGTTTCTGAGACTGAGACTGTGCCGACCAGGAGGAAATCAAACGTAATCAGAAAGCCCTGTGCTGCCGAGCCAGCCCTGAGTGCAGGTTCCCGGGCAGCCGAGCCTGCTGAGAACAGAAAAGGTACAGCGGTGCCGGTTGAATGCCCCACATGTCATAAAAAGTTCCTCAGCAAATATTACCTAAAAGTTCACAACAGGTAAACGTTCTGTTTTTCTATTTTCTTTTCCCATCTGCTGTTCCTGTGTTGGGGGAGGGGGCCTGCATCCCCACTTCTGGGCCGCGTAGGGGCCCGGGGCTCCACCTCAGACCCACAGAGCGCCTGGCATTGGCGTCCTCTGGCCTTCGGGGAGTGAGCACCTGACCTTGGTTGGCTTCCTTCTTCGTCGCCCTCCTGCGAGCCCTCTGCTTGGAGTGGGTCTGTGGACACCATAGTAACAGGTTGCACATGCTGTGAACATGGACCTCCAGCTGGCTTTTCCCAAGGGGGTGAGAGAAGCCTGTGGCCCCATGCTGTGGCTGTGGCCTGACTGTAGGTGTTTCTAAAGCCTGGCAGTGTGGGCTTTGGGCCAAGATGTCGATCTTTAGGGTTGGTGCCACCCACATTTCTGGGGACAGGTTAGCTCTGAGGTGTCAGCAGAGCACGAGAGACCATTTGTCTAAAACTGCCGTGTCCCATAAGGTAATCAGATGCCACACGAAGCTATTTTAATTTAAAATCAAAGTAATTAAAATTAAGTAAGTTCATTTCCTCAGTCACACTAGCTGCATTTCAAGGGGTCAGTAGCCACATGTGGTCCCGGCTGCCGAATCGACAGGACGGACATAGAACATTTCCATCATCCCAGAGCATCCTCTTGGAAGGCGCTGCTCCAGGGGCCTTGCTCTCTGCGGGGCCTGCAGGGACGGCAACTAGGTGACACGCCTTCTGGTCTTGCCCCTCCTTAGCCCAAGACATCACTTGGCGCGATTTCTTGCCAAGCCAGGCTGGGCCATACATGTTTTCTCAGTATGACACTCTCAGAAGCCACTGGCGACCGAATGGAGTTGGAACTGGGGCTGAAGCCCATTTGCTGTCCCTGCTCTGGGGGCAGCTGCTGCCAGTGGAGCATTTGTGATGTGCGTCTGCCTGGACGCTCTCCCAGTGTAAGACTTGGGTACAGGCACCGACCCCATCCTTGCCTTGGGCTGCAGGCTGCTAGACCGGCCCTGAGAACTGGGAAGGGGTGATGGCCTCCTGAGGTCTTTGGGGCAGGGGACAAGGACAGTCAGTATTGCAGCAGAGGATGAGAGGAGTGTATGGCCTCTGGCAGGTTGTCGGAGCTCTCTCCACGCCACTCCCGGGCTCTGAAGTCAGGGTTCATTTAGCTCATTCAGTGAGCTGTCTGCCTGGTGGCTGGGCGCACCGGATACCTTAGTGGGCAGAACAAAGAGGCCTTGTGGAGCTTGCCTTCCAGCAGGGCGATGAGACCCTGAACTACCAGATAAGAGACTCTGCAGTGCGATGAAGGCCGTGGGAAAAAAGAAAAGGACAGCAGTGCCAGGGGGCTGGGAGTTCAGGGTGGGGTCAGGTTGCGATTGTAAAGAAAGGAGATAATCCAGCAGACTCGAAGTGCCTAACGGATGGCTGGGGAGAGCGCTCTGGGCCAGAGAGGGGCCAGAGCAGAGGCTCTGGGGTGGGAGGGGGCCAGCAAGGTAAGGGGCAGGCCAGCAGTGCCCTCACAGGCCCCCAGGCCTTTCTCAGGGTGAGATGCCCAACGTTAGAGGGTTCTGAGCAAAGAGGCGATGCGATCTGGTTGTACTTGAGGGCCCGTCTGGCTCCTGAAGTGGAAACCCCACGGGAGGTAGGCGTGGAGCACGGGATGGGTAGGAGGCCCAGGCAGCGGCCCAGGGATGGCGTGGCCGCACTAGATGGTAGCATGGAGGCCAGGTGAGGTGGTCAGATTCTGGCTGTGGTTTTGAAGGCTGAGCCCATGGAAGCTCCAGGCAGACTGTGTGGTTTCTCCAGGGAGTCAGGGCCCCGGGATCATTTCTGTCTTCGGAGAGATGCTGGCGGCTGGGCCTCCCCATCGGCCTGTGGCTCTGGGGCAGCCCCTCCAGCATGGAGCTGTGCCGTGCCCTCCCTTGCAGAGTCTCCAGGAGGGAGGAGGGTTTCTGGGCTCACCCCTGCAGCTCCACCAGCTGTGTCTGGCCGAGCCTCGTGGAGAGCCTCAGGTGTCGGCCCACGTCCAGTCTTCCTCTGCCGCGGAGCACAGCACTGTCAGCAGAGGTGCTGGAGGGGGCCTGGGTGAGGGAGGGCGGCAGGTGCGCTCAGCCCCGACACCCCCGTGGCTTCTCCCAGCAGGAAACACACTGGGGAGAAACCCTTTGAGTGTCCCAAATGCGGGAAATGTTACTTTCGGAAGGAGAACCTCCTGGAGCACGAAGCCCGGAACTGCATGAACCGCTCGGAACAGGTACTTGGGGGCCGGCCCGGGTCCTGGCGGGCAGGGCATGCTGGCCTCTGTCTCTCTGCCACCTGGGAGGGGCCCCCAGGGGACTGGCCTAGACGGGACTGTAAACTCAAGTGCTGCAGGGTCCTTGGATATCATCGGGTCCACTTCCTGGCACATGTGGTGGGGACACAGGTCCCAAGGGCGGGCGGCACAAGCCCAGGAGGGACTTTGTAGGAGGCATTTTGGGTTTGCCTGCCTGGGCCCCTGGGCTTTGGAGAAAGGGGTACTTCGGTGGGGGATGGCTGCTGAGAAAGGCCACCTGGCCACCTCTCCCCACGCCCCTGGCTGGCCCGTGTGACTCGGCGGCTAACCCCCACCTCTTCCTAGAGGCCTGTCACCTGCAGGCTGCGGCCCTGTCCCCGGCCTGGCCCCCAGCCTGGCGTGGTGGGCTTGCAGCGTTCAGCGAGGGTCAGCGTCAGGGCAAGCAGGTTATGTGTTGCCCTCTCCCACCCTAGTGCACCCCCCCCGCCCCCCCCTCCACCCCGGGCAGACTCTTCCCAGCAGCGAGTGGAAGCCCCGGCCGCGGCTGTCGTCGAGGCAGAGGCCCCCGCTGACGCCGGTCCCGCTTGCCCCTCACACTGCCAGGTCTTCACGTGCTCCGTGTGCCAGGAGACATTCCGCCGGAGGATGGAGCTGCGGGTGCACATGGTGTCCCACACGGGGGAGATGCCCTACAAGGTCAGGCTCAGCTTGTCCCCATGGCTGGGGGCCGAGGGGCGGCCCCAGGGGCCCTCCCGCCTAGCCCTTTACCTGGGATGGTGTCGGGGGGCCTCCCCCTCACCAGCCGTCGAGGAGCCCTGCCCTCACTCCCCGTGTCCCCGTGTCCCGTGTCCGGTGCTCCCGCATCTTTGGGCAGGGCTGCCGTGTCTTTCCGCGGAGGGCAGCCTCAGCCTCGGCGTGGGCGTAGCACCAGAGGCCCTCCCCAGTGTGGCCTTCACGCCCGGTCGGGATCATCTCGGGCTGTGCCCTGCCTTTGGGTTCCCGCCCTGGCAGCCTGGGGGCCTCAGGCGACCGTGGCCTGTCTTCTAGTGCGCCTCCTGCTCGCAGCAGTTCATGCAGAAGAAGGACCTGCAGAGCCACATGATCAAGCTGCACGGAGCGCCCAAGCCCCACGCGGTGCGTGCCAGGCCGTCCTGAGGGCCCTGAGGACCGGGGCCGCGCACTCCGATGCCGGGCACTAGCACGGTGAAGGCGGCCGTGGCCGCGTCCAGAGTGGGTGGGCAGTGCGGTTTCCACCATGAGGGGTCCAGGGGGTTCTGTGGGGCTCCCGGGCGGCCCTCCCCCCTGACCCTCGCCCTGCTCACCCTGTCCCTTAGTGTCCCACCTGTGCCAAGTGCTTCTTGTCCCGGACGGAACTGCAGCTGCATGAGGCTTTCAAGCACCGTGGGGAGAAGCTCTTTGTGTGTGAGGAGTGCGGCCACCGGGCGTCGAGCCGAAACGGCCTGCAGATGCACATCAAGGCCAAGCACAGGTGGCGTGGCCCGTCTTCCCCAGGGCCTGGCCCCGCTGCTGCCTCCAGGCCCACGGGCCGCCTGGGAAGGCAGAGTCTGCTGCCGCTCCCCCAGAGTGCCCCCCACCCTGAGTCTGGTGCCTGTAGCCTTTCTGGGTGGGGACGCCTGCGGGATGAGCAAGCCTGCTGGGCCATGGAGGCTGCGGGGCAGGGGATTTCAGGCAAGACCAGGCTCCCCTACCCCCGCCCTGGGCAGCTTCTCAGTTTCCCGTGGCTCCCGGGATGGGGCTCGTGCTCCTCTCCCAGCCCTGCCCAAGCCCTTTCTCCACCAGGCAGCTCGCAGCAGCCCGGCCTGTTCCCAAGGCTCAGGCCGGCTGGCTTCAGCCTTGCCTGTTTCCGTGGCTCGGGCCGGCCTGTGTTCCCAGCTGCAGTGGCGCCAAGGGGGCCGCTTCCCTCGGTGACGCCTCTGCCCGTGTCCCCACCCGGACAGGAACGAGAGGCCGTACGTCTGTGAGTTCTGCAGCCACGCTTTCACCCAGAAGGCCAATCTCAACATGCACCTGCGCACGCACACAGGCGAGAAGCCCTTCCAGTGCCACCTCTGCGGCAAGACCTTCCGCACCCAAGGTGAGGCAGGCCGTCCCCTCCCTGTCCTGGGGCTAAGGCCCGGTGGCTGAGCCCTCACCTTGTCCCCGCAGCCAGCCTCGACAAGCACAACCGCACCCACACCGGCGAGAGGCCCTTCAGCTGTGAGTTCTGCGAGCAGCGCTTCACGGAGAAGGGGCCCCTGCTGAGGCACGTGGCCAGCCGCCACCAGGAGGGCCGGCCCCACTTCTGCCAGATCTGCGGGAAGACCTTCAAAGGTGCCTTGGCCCTGCCCCGGGTGAGCCCCGGGTTGGGGAGAGAGGGCCACAGGGGCTGTCACAGGCTCCTCCACTGTGGAAGCTTCTGGCCCGCAGGCAGGGGCGGAGGCTCCCCAGGGCCTTGGGCAGTAGTGACCTCAGGGTGGCGCCGGAGAGCCTGGCAGGGCCCAGAACCACCGCCGCAGGCTGTGTCTCCTCTCCGGGCTGGAGCCCTGCTCCCGCCCCGACACTGGGCCCTTCCCTCCTGCAGCCGTGGAGCAGCTGCGCGTGCACGTGAGGAGGCACAAGGGGGTCAGGAAGTTCGAGTGCACCGAATGCGGCTACAAGTTCACCCGGCAGGTAGGCCTGGGGCCAGCCTCCTCCTGCCCCCGCCCCCCGGCCCCTGAGCCCCTCCCCCAGACGCCTCTGTGCCCAGCCTGAGCGCCCGTCCCCGCTAGGCCCACCTGCGGAGGCACATGGAGATCCACGACCGGGTGGAGAACTACAACCCACGGCAGCGCAAGCTCCGGAACCTGGTCATCGAGGACGAGAAGATGGTGGTGGTGGCGCTCCAGCCGCCCACCGAGCTGGAGGTGGGCTCGGCTGAGGTCATCGTGGAGTCGCTGGCCCAGGGTGGCCTGGCCTCCCAGCTCCCTGGCCAGAGACTGTGTGCGGAGGAGACCTTCTCGGGCCCGGGCGTCATGGAGCCCTCGCTCATCATCACGGCCGCCATCCCCGAGGACTGTGACACGTAGTCCTCCCCGCCTCGCCGACACCCCCCGGCCCCCAGCCCACTTGGCCCCGTCCCTCAATAAACCACATGGCTTTGGACTCAATTGTTCTGGCCCATCCAGCGGCCTGTTCCCCGGGAACCTGGGCTCCAGGGAGGTGCTTTCCCACCGTGTCGTCTAGAAGAAACGGTGTCCTGCCTGACCCTCCGTGCACCCCAGAGCTCGGCCAGCAGCTTCCCCACATTGTTGGGAGACCCCAGCCAAATGAAACCTGGGCAGGTAGCTTTGGGGGACAAGCCTCTGGCCAAGGGCGCTCTCATCTTTCTCCATCTGGCTTTTAGAACCGGGACCAGTGGCCAGGGCCCTGGCGATGGTGGCTGGCCCAAGACGGGGGCCCCGTTACTCTGCAGCCAAGTGGATCTGGGGGCCTGAGGACAGGCAGGCTTGTGGCTGGCGGCATGACCACGGACAGGACCTTTCCCTGGGGCAGAAGCTTGGTTTGCTTGTCCAGAAGGCTGGCTTGGCACATAGGCAGGGCCAGGCCTAGAACAGCAAGCGGCCCTGGTGGTACCCAGGTTCTGCAGCCTTGGGGAGAATAGCCTGTGGGCTCGCGAGGCCACTGCCTGCATCCAGATTCCTTCCCAGCTCTTGTTTAGAGCTGTGACCCGGGGCAAGTGACTGAATGCTTCACTTGCTTACTTTTTAATGGAATTAGTAACAGTGCTCGAGGATTAAATGAGAAAGCCTGCTGTTCCAGTCCACTGCCGGGTAACAGACGACCCCAGAGTTGCCCTCGGGGCCAGGGGGCAGATCCGCTCTCAAGATGGCTCACTTGTGTGCCTGGCAAGTTGGCACTGGCCGTGGGCCGGGGTGCCTCCCCATGGGCTGCCTGGGCTCCCTCACAGCATGGTGGCTGGGTGCCAGGAGGAACGTCGCAGCAGGCCGAAGCTGCAAGGCCTTTCTGTGACCTGGCCCTGGAGGTCAACAGTGCCACCCCTACCGCGTTGTATTGGTCCAGGCAGTCACCAAAATGTCCTTCCTTAGGTTCAAGGGGAGGAGTGTCAAAGAATCCGCACACGTTTATGGCTGCCCCCGCCCCAGACAGTAAGTGCTTATGCTTCTGCTCAGCGCTTGGCACGGGGTGAGCACAGAATCGGGTGGTGACAGTTGTGACCCCAAGAGCTCGCGTCAGCCATCACTTAACGCCTCATCACTGGAGGATTCCAGAGGCACCGGCCCCACGCTATGCTAAATGCTTCCCAGGGTTTGAGGAGGAAAACTCCACTTTAGACCCAGAAGCCCTCCAACCATCTTTCGTTTTACTCCTTGCCCACTAGGGAGCTCAGACGTAGACAGTTAAGTATCCTAGTGTGGTAACTGCCAGCCAGGTCATGAGCCACCTCAGATCTGGTAAGGCGACCGAGGTAAACCATGGCCTCCCGATGCCCCCTTCCCGGCACTGGCCGCTTCCTCGGGTTCTGTGGGCTCGCAGACGTGAGGAATGTTCTGCACTTCACGACCTCTTCCGGGAGGGACGCTGCTCTATTTTAAGGGTTCAGCCCCTCCTGCCAGGTCCAAGAGATGGGGATCTCATCACCTTTTAGCACCACACCTTCAGGAGGTGGGGGGGGGGGAGCAAGGTATTGGGCACAGTGCCCAGGGGTGGAGTCTGAGGAGGTTGAAGCAGCTTTTGGGCAGGTGAGCCATGGCCTCAGCCACGCACGTTTCTCCCACCTCCCACCTCCGGCCTCCTCTTTCCACTACCTCATGCCTTGTAATGACTGAGACAAGAAAGGGCCTCAAAGGGTTTGCCCCCAAAGCCATTTAGCGTGAGCCCTGGACGCTCTGAACCCCGCCCCTTTCCCCATTAGTTAAGGGACATCAAGGACGCTCCTCAATACTACTTTGCCTCCCTTGCCCCACGCGCTTGGCCTCAGCCCAAAGGTTCCAAGACCCGGCAGCAGCAGGATAGAGGCAATGACACCAAATATATAGGAAATATTTTTATTTCAAAAAGTGTACTGAAGGCATCCTAAAACTTTAAAGAGGATCCTGGACATGTAAGCCTACCGAACGGACAAATAAATACACACATCTGCCCCACGCTCTGGGGCTGGCACTGGATGTCGGACGCTGGAGGGAGACTGTCCTAGTCCAGAAGAGTCTCTGAGGTCATATAAATATAGAATACTTTATAGCAGTAGGTCAGCATTAAATACAAGTCACTGAACTTTCATAACTCGTCTCATAGGCTGAAAAAGTTGTGTACATCTGACGTGTAGAGACAGTCCCTCCCAGGCTGGCCCAGGTCGTCAGTGCACAGACCTGTGTGCGTGATGGGAACCCGTGCCTACAGGAGCGGGCAGGGCAGGGCAGGGAGGAGACGTTTCTCAAGGGTCATCCCCAATCCCGGACCCCCAGCAGGAGCCTGCTGTTGCCCAGGCTGCTGCGTCCCCTTCCCGTGTTTGGTCTTTTAACCCAAAGACCGGGTCTGGGGGGTGGGGACCTGGGTAGTTCTAGAGTGAACATCACTGGCCCCCTGCCCCCCCAAACCATCATCTGAGCAGCCGCCAGAGAGTGGGGTGGTCGGTCACACAGTGAAGTACCAAAAATGCAGGAAAGACCAGACAAAGGCCCGGGCCCAGGCACCGGCCCTCAGTGCTGACCAGAAGTGCTGCGGCGGGTGACAAAGGCTGGTTTCTGTGAGAACATGAGTGTCTGCAGCCCCCCGGTCCCAGCAAAAGCCTGCCCCCCACTGCCTGCCCTGCCTTCTGGGGCTGCCAGGGCCCTTTACAGAGCCAGCCCCAGGAAAGGCACCAGGAGGGAGCCTCCCGTGAGATCGAGCTCCCCCCACCCCTGCCCATGACCTGCCACAGAAGTTGTCACCACATCTCTCTGTGTGGCCTGTCACACCCACTGGGCAGGGCACAGTCTGACACGGAGCTTGGTGACTGGCATGTAATCGGGGCTCCATCAGTCCCGTGCAGGCCTGCCTTGTCGTCCCCCTACCACAGACAGGAGACAAGCCATCACGCCTGGGCAGCAACTGGCTGCAGGGAACCCGAGTCGGCCACCCCATGGAGCCTGGCACCTCTGGGGGGGCTCAGCTCGCCAGGCAGGCACCTGGGCTAGAAAAAAGGTCTCAGTAACCCACGGGAAGTGAAGTGAGGGCTGTGGAGAGGGAGCAACTAGGGCTGCGACCACCCTGGGGTGAGGGGCAGGCGAGCCCCAACTCACCAAGGGAGGACACTCAGACCAGGATGGGTGACCTGGGGGAGGGTCCCCAAGGGAGCAGAGGGCCGAGCACCCACCCTGGCTAAGGCCTGAGGCAGGAAGTACCAACCAAGCCCACATCCCCTGCCTTCCCACCGTGCCTGCCACACCGGGGGCTTGGGGTGGCCAGCTGAGCCGCAGCGCAAGGCGAATGGAAGGGCTGGCTGTGAGCCGTGCCGCTCCAGCAGGGGTTCCAGAGCAAGACGGCTGACCTGACAGCGGTGGCCCCCCACCAGGGCTCCTCGAGGGACGAGGGATGCAGGAGGGAAGGCAGGGGCCCGCCCGACAGCCCCAAAGCTTCTGGCCAACAAAAGGGCTTTAAGTGCCACTTGTGAAGCGACGGTGAGAAAACTTTTTTTTCTTGTTAAGAACACACTGTTGAACATTTACCTAACGAGGAAAACGTAACCGCCCTCCCCTCTGGAAGGGAAGGAGGACAAATTCAAGCAAAGGCTACTTTGGAAACCATGAGAGTACAAGACCACCAATCCACCGTTCGCACTCCTCAGAGAAAACCAGGGACGTGACACCAGCTACGGGGGTTCCCAGGAGCTGCTTCTGCCACCCTCCCACCCTGCAGAAAGCTTCGGCAATGGGACGGGGAGAGGTTAAAGATCAAACCAACCGGACCCCGTTTCTAGCTGCCTGGCCCCCTTCTAAGGAAGGGCCAACTGTGTTTGAAAGCTTGTGACCACCTGCTGAGGCTGCCCCACCCCGGGCTTCCTTGAGAAGCAACAGGATCCTCCGCTCACAGGCCGCAAGGGCAAGGGCGCCTGCAGCTGTCTGCCTGGCTGGGCTTCAGCGACAAAGTCCCAGGGCCTCCCAGTGAGGAGCTATGACCTTGCACTTTCGTCCTCTGCCGAACTGGCCTGGGACGAAGGGCCCGGAGGCCCCCAAGCCAGGTGGGGCTACACCAACTGGTGGGTGTGTGGACAGGGACCCCCAGCACCTGCGTCGGCCCAGGTCCACTGGAGACAGAAACTCAGCAGGTCTCTCTGGGCCCCCTTCAAGGCCACACGCCAGTCCATTCCCACTGCCCTGTGCCCCTAGGTCTGAGCTCACCTCCAGGAGGCGCACCCACGAGGGGTGTTTTGGTGCAAGACCCCAGCAGGGCCGAGGAGCTGGTCAGGCAGACCCTCTGCATCTGGGGAGCTGGCTCGCTGGGTGTCCAGCACTGGCCATGGAGGGTGGGACCCCACTGCAGCCATCGTCTGCCTGATTCTCGATGCTCTGGGACAGCAGGGCCTGCAGGGAGGCCACTCTCACACTCTCCTGGAAGGACCCCTGCCCCTCCACTCATACCCAGAAGTGGCCCTCCTCTCCCAAGGGGGGAGCAAGTAGGCACAGGTGGTGGCTGCAGGAGGTGCACGTGCCTTCATTGGTGAGGTGGGCCTGCAGCGGGGGTGACTTACTGGAACCAGAGACGTGGTGGCGGAGGCAGCTCTTCCTGGACCAAGGGAGCGGCATTCACAACGGGCCTTGGCCCCAGCAGCTGTGACTCACACGCACGGAGACTCTCCAGCTGTCAGATCCTGAGGCTTGCTCGCTCGCTCGCTCGGCAGCCCCTGAGCCCACGCTCCAGCCAACCTGTCCCGGTGCACGAAGGATGGGGGTGCTACCCCCTGAGGTGCTGGGTTACCTGCACCAAGGCCCTCCCCGGGCCGGGCCGGGGCTAGTGCAGCTCGGCGGGGTTCTGTGGCGGCCGGGGCCGGCCCACACCCATGTCAC